GTGATGAGTCACCTTAACCCCCTGCCCCAGGTTATCCTCTGTTCTCCAGATCTCCGCAGTCACCTGAATGCTCTCCAGGCATCCACACCTGCCCCTCCAGCAGGGGCCTCTGCAGCCAGTGTGCTCTGTTAAAAACGTCATCAGCTTCTGTTAGCCAATCTGAAAATCAAGATGAAATTTCCCAACCTGGCCTCTGGGCCCGAGCAGCTCAGCTAGCTTTTAAGCTCCTCTGTATCACTCTCCCATTCTGGGATCTGGCTACATGGGCCTTCTCTAGGTCTGAAACACGCCATACTCCACTTCACTGGAGGGCTTTTGCATACACTCTTAGCTCAGTTGGTGGGATTTTGATCACCTCCCTTCCTCTCCTACCTGGGAAAGCACCTACTTTCTGTCCAGATCTCAGCTCGGACATTCTTCCCCTGGGGGGATGAGGCCCCAGGCTAGATCAAAGTCCCGGGGATGTGCTTCCACAGTGCCATGCTCGTCTCTGGTGTGACACCCCTCAAAGTTTTCATTTATTTGAGAGAGCTTAAAAAAGTTAAAATCTTTCCCCTCCACCAAACTATGAGCTCCATGCAGACAAGGACCAGTATACCAGGATGTCCCTGGTTCCTATCATCTGGCTCGGCAAATAGTAAACACGTTGCACGTTTGTCCAATGAAAGAATGCAAAAGTGAGTTGAGGCAGCTTGCTCCCTGCTTTACTCTCGAACACACTGTTCATCTCAACCCAGCAAATGTTTATTTCCTCCTTATCGACAGCGAGGGAGAGGCATTTCTCTGTATACCAGACAGGATAATACTTCATTTCAAAGATTTTATTTGAAGTAATAATAATAAAAAAAAAACATGGTCTAGAAAAATATCCTCAATTCATCTTGTCTTTCAAAAAGAAATTTTAATAAAAGTAAGAGGAAGCGACATTCGTTCAATTTCTGCATCTTTGCAACGCAATGGTGACAATGAACAAATGCCTCCTGGTCGTCAAATGGAATGTGAACTGCAAAAGGCCCAAAGGCCAACAGAGCCTGGAGATGTCTGAGAAGAAACAGTGGCAGGAGGACAACTCGCAAAAGAATTGCATTAATTTAAGAGGTGGAAAAGCTTATGGAAGCATCTTTCAGAACCCTTCAGAAGCTAGTAAAATAATATTTTACTATATTTTCTCCAGCTCTTAAAACCTCACAAATGCAAATGTGTGATAAAATGTGAAAATAAGTATTGGCAACTAATTATGTCCTCAGGAGAGATTTAAATTGAAAAAGGAGTGTATTTGCACTGTTTCTCCTCAGTTAGATGTTTATGGCACCTGGACAAAGTAGAACAAACATTTGAAAATCCTTTGACATAGCTGGTATTTAAAGAATAGCAATTGGCTAACATTTGTGGCTCTGTATGTTGAATATTTTGGCCCTGGTCCTCTGGTATTCATTCTGAAAGATTTATAATCCTTTTGGGAGTGTGGTCAGTGACAAGAGTAGAACTAAATCCTGAAATGTGGAAAAACTAACTTTCCCTAATATAAAACTGTTCTAAAAAAATCCCTCAAGCCTATGAATATGTTTCCAGATTTTCAGAAAAAAAAAAGCTGATGATTTACAGAAAATAATTTTTTTTTCTAGAAGGATCTCACTTCTTAATTGTCAGTTCTTTGACTTCTGTGTTGGCCTGGAGATAATTCAGAAAAATATAAACTCTTACCTGTGGCGTATCTGCTGCAATGAAATGACCTTTAAGAGTTTATGTCATTGGTTATAGCGTAAGTAATGAAATAAAGCTCAAAAGTTGGAAGTGGTCTAGAAGAGAAAAATTAAGACACTTGAAATAGGAAACAAAGATTGTGCTGAGCACATAAGCCGAAAATTGCTACCAAAGAAAATATTATGATGCAAGAATAGCAGTCAAGAGAATCCTTGCTCATGCCCAGCTGAGGATGTCAGGGCAGAGCGTTCTGCGGGGAGCTGGACCTGCGGTGGGAGGAGGCTCTTGGCTTAACTGAAGCATGACGCCCTGTTCCACGTCCTCATGCGCTTTCTAGTCATGTTTACTCTGCCTAAAGAACTCTCTCTACTCTTGGTTTGGATTTTCAAATTTATGATATAGAAACGCAACTTTGTCCCTTTACAGATACCTCCCCTGACCCCTACTCTAGAAGTTTCTGGCTCCTTTTAACCATTTAAATTCAGGGGGGAAAAAAAGCCTTGTTCAAATGAAAATGACTTTTCTTATCTTCTTTGCTCTTTCTTTTTTTGTGCATTATATAATTTCCTGTAACAAATGATGGTCAGCATGTAGATCCTTCTTTATGGTTTACAAAAATTATCTGCCTTTTGTTTTTCTAAAAGAGGAACAGGAAGTGCTAGCAT